GCGCGCCCCGGGCGGCCTCCCGAAGCCCGCCAGCCTGGTCCCAGGAAGAGGCGGAGGGCTGGGTGGCAGCAGGTAGCTGGTTCGTGCCGTGCCAGGTGCAGGGTCTGCTGGCTGGGTACTGGCAGGCTTGCACCTGGCATGGGCACCGTAGCCCTTTAAGGGCTCCGGGCCCGGGAGGGGGGCAGACGAGTATCCCTGGCGGTGCCCAGAGTGGCCACCAGGAAAAGCTGGGGAGGGCTAGCCTCCCACTAGTTCGAATTAAGTGGCTACACAGCCTTTAATTCGAACTGCTTAATTCGAACTAGGCGTTAGTCCTCGTAGAATGAGGTTTACCTAGTTCGAATTAAGGGCTCCGCTAGTTCGAATTAAGTTCAAACTAGCGGTTTGTATGTGTAGCGGCGGTGCCCAGAGTGGCCACCAGGAAAAGCTGGGGAGGGCTAGCCTCCCACTAGTTCGAATTAAGTGGCTACACAGCCTTTAATTCGAACTGCTTAATTCGAACTAGGCGTTAGTCCTCGTAGAATGAGGTTTACCTAGTTCGAATTAAGGGCTCCGCTAGTTCGAATTAAGTTCAAACTAGCGGTTTGTATGTGTAGCGCCTATCAAAGTTAATTCGAACTAACGTCTGTTAGTTCGAATTAACTTTGTAGTGTAGACATACCCGTGGAGTGTCTGTAGCTCCCTACAACTACCTATGCAGCTCTTACTCTGATCTGGCTCCAGCTTCTGACCTGGACAGGGAAGAGGGAAACAAGGCCTCAGGAAGGAAGAGGATTGACATGGCTGACAACTTTCAAAACTTTCCAATCCCTTGGTTCTGGTGTCCATAGATGTGTCTTTTGCTCTAATGACTATACCATATCTTAGACAAAAGTTTAAAACTTCCACTAACATTGTAAATATGCTAAGCATGCACACAACTTAAGATGTTGCAGATCCTGCTCCAATATTCTGTTCTCCTTGACCATGTTAACAGTTTTAAAATTACTTTAGACTGACAATCTACTCTGGGGTGATTTCTCTAAATGACTTCTCAATAGATCTTCATTTGTCAAATATTTTTACCTTTTTCACCCCGTACACCTGGATTTCCTACTGGCCCAGGAGCACCTGGTATTCCAGGGGTTCCCATGACTCCCATTTCTCCTTTGATGCCTGAAACAAAAACAAAATAATAGTTAGCAGAAATCTAATTGACTAACATAAAATAAGCAACAAAAATTGAATGTCTCCCTATCTTTATTACATTAGGAACTGGACTCTTAAAAAAAGAATATGAAACAACTGTGTACCTTATATGTCTTACATCAGTGGTCCCCAACCATTTGAGGTTGCCGGGAGCCAGGGGGCGGGGACACTTGCGCGCCCGGGGGCGGCCCCCCCCCCATAGCCA